AAGTAGTTTTTTTTCAAAATAATGCGTGAAACGGGCGTGAAACGGCATGAACGCCTATTGTTTTGCGCGAACGCACGTTTCAAAAAAACACATGATGTTCACGCAAAAATGTGATTTTGGAAAATATTTTTGGTTCAGTACCTTGGGAATATTTTCAAATTATGCAATCTTGGGATGTAATTGTATGTTTTTTTCTGCTTCATAATTTCAATTGAGGCCCAAAGGTTAGGTTAGGTCCAGCTGCTTACCTGCTTTGCTATGCCGGCTGGTGCTGCTAGAATCTTGGCGCACAAATGAAAATGCGTCTTGCTTTATGAAAAGTGAAAATGTGGCCTATGCGCGAATCTGGCGTGAAACGCATGAACCATACACTCGACTATTATTAAAACCGGCCAGGCTGTTAAAATAATAGGCTTCTATGAACGACTATTATCAGAATAGGCTATGACGTCTAGGGTATCATGTATATATATATATTATTATTCTCATTATACTCGGTACTTAAAGTTGACTTAAAGGGCAGACCCGCAGAGTTAAACATATCTGGTTTGCCCAACTCTGAGAAACTTGTCCCCCTGACGACCCGGAAATACACAAGACATTTTTTAAAAACACCCCAAATTCAATCAGATCAATTCATGAAACATCACTTCCCACGAAGCTTCCCTCGTTGAAACAACCCAGGTGCCCCGACTCATCCTTGCCAGAGACTTGGCGTCGTTTTTTCATCCGCCTGGCCGATGCATTCCACAGGTCACGGGTCAAAATTGGGGTACGAGTACCAGTTTGGAACCGGCTCATTTTTGTGAATTTTGAATATACAAAATCAGAAAATATAAATCATTAATACAAATCAGCTACATGAATACAATTATATATATTTGAATATACTATACATACAAATCATTACAAATCAATACAAATCATATAAATCATACAATATAAACCCATCCATTGTAGGGCTGATCATTTTGATCCAAACCCAGACATATGAAAAAAACGACAGGCACCTCCAGTGCACCTTGGGCACCAAGTGATGCACGGTGAGATCTTGATCCAAGCCTGAAGACTCCGTGGATGCTAACTTTGGACATGATGTAGATTGAATGCTGTGAACTGCTTGGCCCATCATAGCCCATGCAATTTTGGGACACTCAGTTTGTGCCCTGCAATTGCCCCATTGCTCATTAGCACTGTCTCCGACAGATTCTGCCCCTCGTGTTTCTCAGGAAGCTCTGATTTCCTCTAAAACCCAGTGATTCACGCACTTCCATTGTTTGACACATGCTCGGATATGCTCGGTACTGTTACCGCGGTCAAATGCTTCCACTTGCCAACTACTGTTGCTACCTCTTTGGTTGATTGATGATGTGAGGACTGATAATGTGAAGACTGACCATGGACATTCGCCCAGAACTCGGAAGCTTTTGAGCTAAAGTTCCTTTCAACATAGTCAGTCAGGGTTTAATCTCATCCAGGCTTGAAATTTCCCAGGCCGAGCATGTTTTCCAATCTTAGCCTCTTGACTCTTGAGCGCAGGGGGACCGTAGAATTTCTTCTGAAGTATCAACAAATCAATCATACCTTACACTGTACACCTACATCAACTGTTGAATCAGGTTGATGATATTTGATGATCACATTGCCAGTTAAAAATGACCGTGTGCAATGGGAGTATGCCCTGGAATTTCACTGATTCACAACAAGCCATATTTGGCCCGGGCGCACCACAAAGCTCACAAAGACCCACCACGTTCTGATTGGCGTTCAAGTATCTTCCAGTATTCCTGCATGATTAAGAATTAAGAGAATGAACGCTGCATATGGAAAAATATGGGAACATACCTTTGGGGGATAGCAAGATTCAGTTCCAAGACTGTCACTTATTCCTGAACGCTTTTGGGTTTGCGACAAGTTTTGAACATGGCAGTAACCTTCCGACTTGTTGAAAGGCTAGTCGTTAGTTTTTTTTAGAATTGCAATGAGGGTGAAGTGGATGGGCTAAAGGACTCAGACATGGATACCCAGAAAAACAATCCCAAGTTGGGCTTCTTGATGTCAAACGATGTTTCCCAACAGCGAACGTTATTTCCATGAAGCGCAAATGATACAGTAAGTTTAGTCTGACAAAAACACACGAGGAATGAGTCCCAGCAGAATTCCAATACGAAGCAACCATTCTTCAGAGCACACTTACTCCAAAACCGTAACTATCTGCAAATATCTGCAGCGTCACGTGGGCCTTGCCATTCGTTGGGTTGCCATACGCCGAAGACTGACCACGACAGCTGTGCCTCTCTGCTGAAGGGGGATTTGGTGCTTGGGTTTTACATGGTTTTACATTGTTGTCCTTGCACCCAATTCCGGAACAACAGATTCAGAGATTCTGATCACAAGGGCCCCACAGGCTTGACTTCAATAAGAATAATAAGACACGTCAGGCAAAAATCATTCACCCTGGTCTGGTCCTTCCAGTCTGACCAGGCTCTTCACTGTTCACAGACATTTGGCTTTCTCCGAGAGGGGGTAGGCCCCAAATATAGAATGCTGGGGCACCCTAGTTTCAATCAAATCCATTTCAAAATTTATTCCGCCTGCCTGCAGGAGCCACCAAGGTGGTAGGCCTTCGCCGGTGGATGATATCTCACCCTAGAACTGCTTCTGCTTCGGCTAGTGAATGGCAATGGTTGGAGTCAAATGCCGGAAAAATCCCCCTGCTGCAGGATAAACCGCTTGTAGAATGTCTGTAGGACAAACTGCCTCAGAGGCCCTCTAGTCCTCAATTCTGCAAGATATCTAGAATATCGGTCACGACATGTTAGTGACAAACATGTTTATCCTCAAGCAAACATGCTGGCCCCAGATGGAAGAGCTGCATCTGCAAGAAATTCTTTTAGAGCACCTCGGCGCTTCCAGATTTATTCGCTCCCGCGCTGAGTGTTTGGGCCACACATCGCGCCCTTCGCCATGGCGTTGCTTTCCAAAGGCTCAGCATGCCAACCGGCACCAACTGCATCGGTTGCATGTGACACGGTCAGAAAGTGGCAGCTTCCATTGGGAAATCTAGCCCTTCATGAACAAATGCCAATGTCATCTCATCTTCATTTCGTCATGGGCTGGTGGAGTAGCAACAATACTCGTAACACGTTGCTGCAGCAGAGCTTCAAGGGAAAGAATCGATGTTTCCCGCGGCTCTTTCCTGCATGTTCCTCTTCCGCACCGGAGCAATTTGAACAAGATAGGGTCTCACCCAGCATATCTGCAACTGCCCAGCCTGGCACCCCACAAGATGCCCCAAGTGCATCAATAAGGGCTCTACATATTCACTCTCCTTGTCAGTTCCATTGGCTCATGGAGATGCTAGTGCATATTCTATGCATTGTGCTCCATGGATGTCACTTGTAACACAAACTGTAGCCTCTGGTAAACGAACATAGCCATGGAAATAGTCGGTAAATAATCTGTAAAGGGGCCATTTTCCACAACAAACGTAGTTTACCGAAGGGTATCCCTACAGGTTTCTACATCTGGAAGTGACTCAAGCGGACTCAAGGGAGAATAACTGAGCAATGCTCCAGCCATTGCCACTTTCTGCAAGAAATGGACGATGGACGATGGACATTGGCCATCGCTGGATCGTCATCCAATCCGGGCTTAGCCCCGAGGCAGCCCCGACTTGAGACAATCAATGGCTGAAAGGAACAACTGTAGGAAGTGATGGATAATGTGATTGTTCTTACACTCTCTTACATGTTCTCATCCCATGCATGAAATTTTGGATTCCTCCAACATTTCACTTCAAAAAGACTCTGGGACTGAAGCTCCCGGCCTTCAACTGTGCTCTGGCGGCATTTTCTGAAGGCTTTGGATCATGGATTAAGACGTGATCAAAACAACAGCTCACACGATTCACTTGATTTCACTTTACTCATGGGAAAACCTCCAAACACTATTTAAAAATTACAAGAGTATGCGCAGCAGACACTCTGGATATGTTTGGATGCTTGTGTCTTTCCAGGTCTTTCCCCAAGAACACCTCAGTGCCATTTCAGTGCTCAAGTCGTACCATCTTGTACGCTGTCGTGACCGTCGGGAATAAATGGCTTCCATTTTGGAATTGGTCCCAGCAGGTCCCTGCTTCGATCATGATCTCGCCCTGCAACTGACTGCCTGCAATGCCTGCAACCAATCAGCTTCAGTGACACCGTGACACACCTGACAGCCTGCAAAAAGACGCAAAAAGATCCTTTCCTCACAAACTGAGGAGTCAGCACCGAATAAAGATACCAAGCATTGTACGGCATTCCGATTTGGCACATACCACCCAGACGAATTTGCCGTGCAATGGGCAAGGTTGCATGGGATGTGAGCACATGTTCAAATCGGAAGAGAACATAATTGGCAGCTGGTCGTTTCAAAATAGGAGCACATGCAATGAAATTGCAGAATTGTGGCCCTCAAACTTTGGAACAATTTAAAGTAAGCTTGTCGATGCCCGTTTGTAGTGGAACATGTGCAATCTAATATGATGTATTATACGAATCACTGCAGAAAATGTTGACAGGTAACCAAAAACGGCATGGAATTGATTGGAGTTGTATAAATCATATCTGTCTAAAACAAAGAATGCCAATCATGCGTTTCACAACAAATCTACGCATGCCCATGATATGCCTTGCATGGAACCCAACTGAACCGATTTTCTGTAGGTGTTTCCCAAGTCAATCATTGACTCCATGTTGACACAGCTGTTAGGTTGTTTGATTTGTTCTTGTCCTGGTAGGTCGGTACTCATTGCTGGGTCTATCTTGTGGTTGACTAATGGAACCCAGTCTCCAATGATGGTGTCCCTCATCATTAACAGTAGCACCCTATGAGGGTTCTTGGCCAGGATTCTAAATATGATTCTTGTACACTTACATGATTCAAATATAATCAGATTACCATCCTCATGCTCATCAACATGATAAAAACAGGATGGATCTGCTTTTCACCAAATTCAATGAATCATCTGCCAACATTTCCCTTCTCAGCATGCGCAGCTTTTTCGAAGCCGACCATGGCCGACCGGCGGTCGTCACGGTCTGTGACAGGCCGCAATGGCTTCCAAGGTCTGGCCGTGGATGGTGCCGTTGGACGCCAAGAGTTCCCGAACGCCCACCGTCCGACCCAAGGAGAAGCACAAGGGTCGGCCCTCCGAATCGCTCACCTGGCGAATGATGAGGCGCAGTAAAATCTGCAAATGGGAACTGTGTTGGGATAGAACTAGAAATTCATCCAATCCAGGCACCAACCATCCAAATCACTTCAGGGGAGTTGGATGATGTTGAGTCCCACCCAGGGTGTCCAGTAACTGTATGTTGCTTGCAAAAATGCAAAATCTTGCAAATAACTCAAGACTGCATGTGCAAACACCAGCAATACCAATAGGCCTTACAAACAGATTTCAGTACACTCACAAGACTAGTCCTTGTGCCCTGCCGAAATGCAGCACCCCGCAGTTGCCACGCGCCTGACCACCAGCTTCTTCCACAACAAGGGTACCAGGAGCGATGTCCCAAATCTTCTGCTCACGGTCAGACAACCTCAAATAGAGACTCGCTTGTCCACGTGCCACCACTCCAAACTTGCATTGGCTGTCCATACCTGGTTGGTGCCAGAGATGGGGTTGATTGCATGTGATTTCCCTGTCTTATGTGAGGTTGCGAGGTCAAGAGATCTGGACGCAAATGGACGCAAGGAGGTTTGTGAGCATGCAAAGCTTTAAAGTAGCGAATTTGAGGCTATCTGAAAATCGCGCCTGTTGCAAGATCATGTCTCTTCAAATTCTTCAATGAGTTTCTGATGAATTCCGAATGTGCTGATGTGGATCATTTCCTTGCAAACTTCAAGACGCGAACATGCTCCCAGAATGCACGTGTGGACCCAAGTTGTGATGTGGACCTTCCAAGGTGTGGTTTGAGCAGCCCAGACACGAAGTGGTGGCTGCAGCTTCAACCGCTCAGCGATTTGTGAGTGAGCTCCGTGGCTAGAATGGGCTGATTCGTAAGACTCAACGTACCTAGACACAACGCACAGAGAGGAAGACCAGTGACCATTGGGTCACGTCGAAGGGTGAACTCGTTTGAGAAACACATGGCACACTTGCATTTGATGACATTTTTTCTGAAAAAGTCATAAGCAAATATAGAGGAAATCAATGGAAAACAATGCAAGTTCCGAGGCGAACTTGTCACCCCAGCTTGGGATGACCAGCCGGCCATTGGTGAATCTGCTGGGTCTCATTCAAAAAAGCATCTTTCCAGCTCCCCTTGGGATTCATATCATAGGCTTTATCAGATCATGTTCATGAGTCTGGTATAATAGACTTTGCATCCAACCAAAATAACCCAACATTGGGCAGGTGAACATCCCTAAAAACACTCTGTTCCAAGGTCACCTAGTCAATGTTCATTTGGGCCATTGCCACAGTGCTGTGACAACATGTGACAGCACAAATACAGGTTGATGGTTTCAACCTGGTCCAAGCATCATTTTCTACAGCCAATTGGGGGTAATCTTCGCCACGAGGGAAAGTAGAGTGTATCAGTGTATCCACCATCCAGCTGTCCGATCTTATTTGTTTTCTTTCCGATCCTAAGCCCCAGATTTGGCGTTAAACCTCCAAAGTTCTTTCTGTTGTGAATGAGAGCAAGGTTGTATCACCACGCCACTACAAACCTGCTTTAGTGAACTAAAAATTATATCGTTCTCCAACTTTGAGCAAATGGAATTTCCAATCTTTTTCGCTTACAAGTACTTTCGCTTACCATACGAAGGCTGGCTTTCCCCGCTGGCTGATTAAACCCGATGTAAACAGTTATTATCACATTGGTTGATGAAGTCCCTATCTTTGCCTTCTGGTGGTGGTATGGTGTTCTACCTCGAATAACCACCATTGATACCCCAGTTGTACCTGCAGCAGGATTTTGCAAAACCTATACACATGTCATATATGTATAATCATTATGCCATAATAATACAATGATATATTATATAACATATAACTTGACTATATCTCTATCTATATTATAGATTATTATAGTATATTCCACCGCCATGGCACGTGTTCGCTGCTTCCTGGTCCACTCGGATGGTCCGTTCTTCGCCACTTCGCAGGTCCAGCTGCGCCGCGCCAAGGCCCTTGGCCGCGTGGAAGACGCAGCCGTGGCCGCCAGCGCTGGCAACGCCCGGCCCGTCTGCCTGGATGCGGATGGTGAAAATAAGCCCTTCTGAGTGGTCGCTGAAGGTTAATGAACCAATAATGATAAACCCCTAATAACTAATAAGCCCTGATATTCTTGTTTCTCTCTGAGGTGTTGGGCTTCTGCAAGTGAATCACTAGAACTAGATATACTCGTGACTAGATGAAAAAGACCAACTGTGCTGCAGGGTGCACTCACTTCCTAAAATCACCCCTCAATACTAGTGGCTCCCGACAATGCCGACTTCAAATCCAGACTTCTGAAATAATTGCAGCGCCCTCCAATTTCAGCAACACCCCAGGTCAGCAAACCCGCCAAAGGCGAAGGTACCGGCAGATTGGGACACCCCAGAGCCGACGCCATGATGGTGCCATCTTTCACCATGCAGAGGCAGATGGCATATTGCTCCTTCCGCAGGAAGCCTTTCGTGCCATCAATGGGATCCAAGACCCAGAAGCTGCCAAGTCCTGACACGTCAGGTAGTTCTGCCAAGGAAACCCAGAAAATGACTTGGACAAGCTTTCAACCGCTGGGATGATATTTTGAGAGAGTCACAACACTGTACGAACATTTTTCATCATTTTTCTGTGTCTTGATGATATGTGAAAAGCTATGAGTAAATATGAGTAATTTGGTTTTGTGATTTTGGAGAAGAATTTTGTTCTTTGCCGCTTCGATTCTGCTCGCGCTGCTCGTCCTCCTCCGCCACCTTTCTCCTTCCCCCTCATTCCTCCTCCTCCTCATCATCATCATGATGATGGATATCATATGTTATCATCTACAAAAAGTAAACATATATCATAGCGACTGCACGCACAGATTTCAGTGAACTTTGCGGGGCCCACTGATCTCAAGTGCCCGCACAAGCCTCAGCCCACTTGCTGGCGCAATTTAAGAACAACTTCACCCCACCATCGTAGCATGACTTGCCTTTGCCCTAGCAGGCCTGGCATGCCCTGGCTCAAGTGAATGTTACCATGCCCCATCGACCTCACCGCACCCCATCCGTACCGCAGCTCAAACAAACCAAAATCATCATCGGCCGGACTTCGGCCGGGGTCCAACAGTCCAACTATACCAAGCTAAGCCAAGCTGTACAAGCGTGACACAAACCAACCGAAAGCAAACCTGAAATGTCGAGCGAATGGACTTACTGTCTTGATGTGTCTTGGCAATATTGGTGTTGAGAGCTTCTGAGATCAGCTTGTCTGATCAAGCAATTGCAGAAAACACCCATGCATCATGGCAAGAATCCCTGACATACAGGTCATCACCCTCCAATCCCCCTAAATCTTTGAATTAACTTGGGTGTAGATCGGAACACTGAACACCGGTATATTGATGTATATTGTACATGTTCCTGTCCTCCTTCATGTCGACCACGGTCCAAGGCTTCTATGACTTCGGCCACGGACACACCGGGCAAAAACTTTTCAACGTGGCTATGGACCTTGCCGAAATGGGTTTTGGCAACCAAAAAGCTGAGACATGCTGAGACACTTCGCACGGTTTCATGACCGGGGGATCACCCAGCTGACTCTGATTCAACAGCGAATCTGTAATCCCGGTCACTTTGATAGAAGTTTTGAGGAAGGACCGCTCAGGCTATGCTTGCCACTACCCCCACACTGTGGCACTAAACCATGAACACGGCAGGCACCAAGTTCTTCTGGCTTGTGGAACATTATACCAATGGGTTTAGCCTTCAGCAACACAATATATGCGGTTCTTCCATGTTCCACCAAGAGAGCAGCTGTGACACCCCTCATTTGACAAATTTGACATGGATCCGACTTGATCATATTTGATCTACTTTGGATCCATGCTGGAATCAAGCGACCCATCCGAACCTATCTCCACACCAACACTGGACATACTGGACCACCACGTTTCCAGGGCATTTCCCCTGCCTCTGCCGCAAGGCGTTCATCGTTTCGCAGGGCCTGAGCGTCCTCCTCACCCAGCATGGGGAGGGGACACCGGGGCTCCAAGAGCAAAGTGATCAGCGCCTGACAGGCAAAATCCGCCACCGTGACCTTAGACCCGAGCGTCACTGAAGCTGTATGGAACATGGATAGAAATGGGATGAAACTGTGATTGGTTCGGATAAACAGCAAAAGAGGATCGAATCTATGATCTTCGTACGTTTTTTGATGCTTTTCATTCACTGAACTGGAAATAAGGAGTGGAAGCTGAATGCCCCATATGGTGGATATCGATTCATACGACACAATATGACCAACTTGAAGGGGAAAAACTGCTCGGACTTGGGCAATTCCTTTTCTCGAATAGTTGCACATAAAAACTAATCATGTCGCAAGGGCGGCTAATGTGGGCGCAAAACGCATTGATCATCTGATTGAATTCTGAGGGCACTGCTGGAGAGAAATCATCCTTGGATAGCACCGAAGTCGCCTCGTCCTTTATAAGGCTCTGCTGCAAATCCGAGGTCAGCGCACATGCCTGACCGGGTCGGCCCCGCCAGGCCCTTCAAAGCCGCCCCGTCGTGGGCCACCACGCAACACAAATCCGAGCTCGTCTATTGGGATCTACTGTAACCCCGAAAGGCGGACACCCAAGAAACCATAAAAACTCACAAACCAATGCGATCCAAGGGGGCTTTTCTTACTGCAAACCAAGCTGGTCTTTATCTGGTCCTTCACTTTAGACTGAGGGACCGGCAGCGCCTTCACGACCACATCTCGAACCAGCAGCCGCAGTTCCGGGAGTTCCATGGCGGCCATGGTATTCGGCGGAGCAATGCTTGAAATCCTCTTGAAAACAGAACATCAATGAGAAACTGTACAGGGTTGATATTGTTTGGTACTTGGAATGCCCTTCCCAACATTTCAGCATACGCGTATCTATACATTGTTTCTTTTGGTTCTATCTTTAAGGCCACACAAACTTGAAGAACCACTGCCACAGAAGGTAAATCAGGCGTTGTTTTGCATCAGCCTTCGTGGTTTGCCTCGTGTAATTACTCAACAGCAAAAATTATGGAGGTTTCCTGAAATGGGGGTCCCCCAAATCATCCAAAATTAGACCATTTTAGTTTTAAAACCCAAAGCGTGGGACCCATGGTTTTGGGGGTCCCCCAGTTATAGAACCCGCATGAGCCCGCCCTTTTTAGCATGGATGGAATGTCGAATTATCCATCTGTCAATCTATCCATC